GCAATTGAAATTGAATTTTGTATGCGCTGCATTTCGTAAAATTTATACATGTATAAAACTTTTGGAACTACAGCGCAACGACGGTCGTAAAAACGGATTTGGGATCTGGCTTTTTTCGCATAGGTTGTATTTCCTTTAAATATTTCTCCGCAAGAAATAGTTGGAAAGGAAAGTTCCTCTGCGTCTTCGTCAAGCGTTAAGCTTGTTGGCCGACGGCCTTCACCTGGTGCCAATGCAATGCGCTGAATTGCAGTATCATTATTTTCCAATAATGTTTCATGGCCTCCGGGATTTAAATTTTCTTCGAGCTCTGCAGCATTTTGGGAGTGGTGCTGCTGGTGAAGAAGTTGCTCTACTGCTTCGCGATCAGATTCGTCCGCAATAAAAGGAATATCATTAATTCCTTGAAGTTCTGTTAGCCATGATTCGTTTAGTGAAATGTTGTGCTTTCTGTAGAGCTCGGTACTTACTAAGTACCGTACAGCTTCAAGGACCCGAGCTGGTCGAATAGTTTCAGTCATGAAATTGTGAGCGTACTCTAGTCTCCTTTTTAAATGGACTTGGATGACATGGGTAGAGTCGAAAGAGCGTGGAAGCGCAGTCACAATATCGGGAACTGAAATTGGAACATTCACCACTGCCCCTCTGATTCCACATTGCCTTTCATAGCCGAGGGAAATAATCCTCATAAAAGGGATTCTCGGTGAAATAAGGCGTTCTTCGAGGCAGGTGAGTCCATTTAAGCACTCAGGGATTTCTGGGAAATCGAACCCATTAGAAAGGCAGAGTGATGGCAGTTTGCCAAGAGAAATGGCACGACGACAAGTGTGGCAAAAGTTATATTTGCCGGACGGACTGGGAAATTTTCTTGACAAATAAAAGGCGTTGCCAACGTTTAGGAGAGGAAATTTAGAGGAGATAGCCAGGATGGATAATCCACTTACCTGCGAACGGAACCATGTTCCTCCACAGCAAATACAAATAGCCGTTGGGCCTTCCTTAATGTTCCTGTGGTACAGATCCCTCGCTGATGATCGAATCCTATTTCGCTGTTGTCCTCGTTCCTGTTCCAGTTCATCCTCCGAAAGTTGAGCTCTTGCGTCCATGTTTCTTTGCGACTGCCTTTGGGAGGCATCCAGTCGATTTTGTGAGTCCATCCTAAAGTTTAATAATCGATCCTCTGCCATTTGCCGAATTTGTTCTTCCCGAATCCTCCGCTGTTGTCGTGTTTCCCGGCGTTGTGATGTGTTTATCCGTTGCTCCTGTGATCTAGCGATGGGATTTCTCCTGGTTGCTCTCCTGTTATCGGCGTCCCTTTCCCGTTCTCGCTGCCTGTCTTCCATATCCCTTCGTCGCTGTCGGTGCTCTCCAGTGTTCCTTTCCTGTTCCCTTGCACGTTCCTCTGGGTCCTCGCGATGAGCAGCTCGTGCTGCGGCGTCCCGAATCCGCTCTGAAATTCGAAATTCAGGATTGTTCCTCCGAGTGGCATGGTCAGCAGTATTTTGCACCTGCTCTTGTCGCCGCTCCTCGGTGTCTTCTCGCCGAATAGTACGCGCTGCGGCGTCCCGCACCCGTTCAGGATTTCGGTACTCCAGAATAGTCCTCCGAGTAGAGTGCTCAGCAGTGTTTCGCAACTGCTCTCGTCGTCGCTCCTCGGGGTCCTCTCGACGGATCGCGTGTGCATCCATGTCCCGAATCCGTTCAGGAATTCGTAACTCCGAAATAGTCCTCCGAGTAGAGTGCTCAGCAGTGTTTCGCAACTGCTCTCGTCGTCGCTCCTCGGGGTCCTCTCGACGGATCGCGTGTGCATCCATGTCCCGAATCCGTTCAGGAATTCGTAACTCCGAAATAGTCCTCCGAGTAGAATGCTCAGCAGTGTTCCGCAACTGCTCTCGTCGTCGCTCCTCGGGGTCCTCTCGACGGATCGCGTGTGCATCCATGTCCCGAATCCGTTCAGGAATTCGTAACTCCGAAATAGTCCTCCGAGTAGAGTGCTCAGCAGTGTTTCGCAACTGCTCTCGTCGTCGCTCCTCGGGGTCCTCTCGACGGATCGCGTGTGCATCCATGTCCCGAATCCGTTCAGGAATTCGTAACTCCGAAATAGTCCTCCGAGTAGAATGCTCAGCAGTGTTTCGCAACTGCTCTCGTCGTCGCTCCTCGGGGTCCTCTCGACGGATCGCGTGTGCATCCATGTCCCGAATCCGTTCAGGAATTCGAAACTCCGAAATAGTCCTCCGAGTAGAGTGTTCAGCAGTGTTTCGCAACTGCTCTTGTCTTCTCACCTCAGAGTCCTGTCGACGATTCGAACGTCTTGCAGCATCCTGAATACGCTCTACAGAACGTATTTCTGGGTTAGTCCTCTGAGACGCATGGTCAGCAGTGTTTCGCAACTGCTCTTGTCTTCGTTCCTCAGAGTCCTCCCGACGAGTTGAATGAGCTTGTGCGTCCCGAATCCGTTCAAGGTTGCGAACCCTTTCGCTTCTTCTCCGCTGCGCGCGTGCAGCGGAATCCTGAGCACGACTTTCCTCCCGAAAGTTAGGGTTATTGTCGCGAGCATCGGCGATATGTTGAGAGTTCCGAGCTCTTATTTGGGACGCATTCCGTTCATAGCGAGCTCTACTGCGGCTTAAAGCAGCTTGGCGGCGTTGCTCCTGGGACAAGCGTGATACACGAGGCATTTTTTTAAATTGCTGTATGAAAAAATGAAAATATGCAATGATAGAATATAAAATCACCTACATGGAATACCGTCCACGGGTATAAGGGGTTATTAGCGAAATATACTTACCAAAGTTTGTAGTTTCAAATGTTAAAAAAATATTTTTAAAAAAAATTACTTTCTCACTTTAAATTTTTGCACTGACAGAGTAACGTCGTCACTCGATAAATTTTTTCATTGACTGATCTACGGATTATAGGATTTCTGAATATATATAGGTAATATCCCAAATATCCCCTTGACCCTTTAAAGGTTCCCAAGTTTGACCCTTTTAAAAAAGGCAATAAAAAGTCATGTTTTTTTTATGTACCTGGGCTACCTGTTGTGCAATTTAGGTGTTACGAATAATTGTGGTCCTAATTTGTGGTGCTATTTTTTCCAATTCGACCAATCAAAAAAAGGTATTACCTGATATTGTACAGTTACAAGGCCACTTCGGGTCCTTTGCACAATTCTTGCCCCTTGCACGTGTTCATTGAACCACTTGACGGGTTGTCCCATTTTACCTGTTTACCAGGTTATAATGGGATAAACCCCTGGATTTCTTTAAATAAAATGTCTCTGTTATCTAAAAAGTAAAGAGTTGTAAACTAGTCGTAATTTTTATGACCGTACTGCCCGTTACTGTAATTCCCATGCATTATAAAAGAGGCTGAAAAGGGTAGATTGTCAATTCAAAAAAAAGTATGAGTATTAAAAATGCTTAATTTTAATAATTTTTGAGAATATAATTTACAGAATATTCTGCAAGGGTATATCAACTTCGGCTCCGCCCGAAGTTAGCTTTTCTTTCTTGTTACAAATGAGTTTCCGTATTTCATTGAATGCATATGCATATGCATATGCAGTTGCATTCTTGCTATAAATACATTAAACTTGTTCTTTTTGCTTCACTTTTCACTTTCAGCCAGTGCCCAGTGCTTAAAACTGAGTCAATGCGATGCGTGGGAGGAAATGCAGCTGCAGTGGCAGAATTTTAATGACCCGTCAGCGCCAAAAATAAAATTCATACATGTCGGCCGGCCAAATAAACGCGTCAGTTGAAATAGAAGTGATGGCGAAAGTGACAGTTTAAATTTGCGTGGGCCGATGGCCAAATGCAAGGAGTCAATGCGCTCATTAAGCAAACTATTCCACGCGAAAAATCCGAGCACCAAAATCAATCATGGGAGCGCCAGCGGAAAGAGTTGACAGTCGAAGAAAAACACAATCGCTTCGGAAGTTCAGGGTCCTTTCACACCGAAGGTGAGTTAGTGAACCCACAAAAAGCGAACTAAGCAAAAACAAGATAAGACGACCTTGGGGGCTTGCCAATATTTTGGCTAATTTGTCAACATTCAGGCAGAAATAAATGCGAATAACTGACGAAAGAACTGAATCGAAAGTGCAACTATTCCACAGCAAAAACAAAGCTCAAACGATGATTGATTGGTTTATTAATTAATAAATGCAACAAAGATTGCTAGTATGTCTGAATACATGGCACAGAAATCTCTTCAAACCAAATTTTAATTGAATAAAAAGGACTAAGCTCTAGCTTATTTTAAAATTCCTCCTTCCTTTGAATCCATCGCATATTTTCCAAGTTAAATGAATATTTGTCTTTTCAAAAATACAATTGAACGTAATATTTAAATTGGATCAACGGATATGTGTTCAGTTTTATTTTGTTTGTGTTTGGCAAAGACAGATGCTCACGTTGCGACATAACTTTTATGTGACTCCTGACATTTCCTACCAGCTCTTCAGAAGTTTGTTACTCTCATTTTCCATCGTCATTGAACCAATGTGAAAAGTTCAATTTCTCTTTTAGCTCCCTCTTCAGCAAATGCAATTTCCCAATAAGTCTTAAAGCCTGAGCCTCTTTGAGCTTCTTACAGCTGGGAGAAACTATAAAAAAGTGCAGCAATAAATTGTCCAGAAACGCTTCTGTGTTCAAGTCTATTTCTCAATTCAATTAAGTTGGTTAAGGGCCTGACTTTTATGCCAGCAAACTTGGTTTTCCGGGCACTAAAAGCCCTTTGCCAGATACAGTTAAAACTCGGCCAACACTTCAGTCGCTAAATGCGTTATTTTGAATTCAATCAACTTTTTGCCGACTAAAAGTATGCAGCACTAAGCGGACATTCTATGGACTTTCGCTGGCAATCTGAAATATAGGGTTTTCACATACTGACCAAGGGAAAGTACTCGATGCCTTTGCACTTTCACCTATCGAAAACCTGGTAGGCGAGCGGCTGTCAAAATCGATGGCATATTCCTCGAACAGCAGATGTGGCGAGTCATTCTTTCAAAAATTGTCGCAGCGAGCAGAGCTCTTGAAAAGTAATAAAAAATAAAAATTAAATTCCTCTCATTGAGTCGTTGTGTTCCGTGTCGAGCAAAGTACTTGATTTTCGCAACCAGCACTCGCGTGTGCCGTTCTCGTTTAGATCCAGATACCACCAAGTCCAGGCCCAGGTCCACCAAAGCACACTCCACTCCACTGACCACCGTCCACTGTCCACCGATTGCCAATCCGTACCAGCAGATGTACAAGATGGTCACCGACTCGAAGGACACCGTTCCACCCAAGGCCAGCACCACCAAGGAGGTGCAGTGCCAGCACTCCGGCTGCGATGAGCCCCAGCCGGAGCAGGCTCCTCCGACCTCGACCCCCCTGGCCACCCCGAAGAGCGGCCGCGTGGGCATCTTCAACGCCGAGGACTTCCTGTCCCGCGCCCAGATGAACGACAAGATCAACAACATCCTTCGCTCGCCCACCAAGGCGCCCAACGGGGTGCGCCAGCGCTCCGTCTACACCAACAACAACCCATCGCCGGTGAGTAGAGTTGCCATTCAATTCTCTATTCTTTTTCACCTGTTGTCATTGCCGAAAATTTGTCGCTCTTTAGCTGTCACTTTTGGGCAAAAACAAATCATTTTTAATAACCCTAGATTATATTTATGCAGGCGAGAAGAAATGCGAAAAAAATGCATCCAAGAACGCAGCGGAGTAAACAATTTATTGGGCTTGCATTTTTTATACTTCTGCAAAAGGCTCCTTAAAAATTGTTTTGATGTCGAAATGGGCAGAAAAGAAATTAATTGTCATTAGCTGATAGAAGAGTAGTGTTAGGCAGGCGATAACTCTGCGGAGGAGACAAGAGCAGGGTTGCTAATAATATCTTAATCGCAAAGACTTTAAACAACTCCAACGGATACTTTCATTCCCATTTCTCATGAAAATCTAAATCTGTTGAACTAGAAAAACTTTCGTCCATGCAGCAGACGAACATTTTAAATGGGTCTATTATTTTATATGAACAAACTTTGCAGATCAGAAAAAATGGTAAAAAAAAGCCACAAAAAAATATTGCATAATGGGGCTGTGAGTAGCGGAATAGTTATTTAATTTTTTTATTCAAACCTCATTAGGTCACTGCCCTATTACGTTGTATACGTACATATGTTTCGTATATTTAATGCGTGGCTTGGCTTCTAAAAATGAGCATAAAATTAGAAATTCCAAGAGTTAATCCTGTAAAGGCCGCTTTCGCAATAAATGTAAAGGCTCGTCGGAAAAGCAAATTGGTTTTCTCGAAGGCTGTAATTTCTTTGAATGAGAAACCATAAAAGAGCTCTTTGATAGAATCAGCTGTGAAATGCCTTTTCATCTTCTTGAGCTGACTTCCGACATAAGCTGTCATTGTATCGGGCCGAATTGGACATAGCTGGAGGACGCTCCCTGATAGTGTTTGCTCGCACATTGACGCTTGAGAAAACCATATTTTCTTTACAGAGAAATTTTAACCAGTAATCGCAAAAATCTGCCAGCTGAACCTGCTTATATCCCCCAATATCCCTTCCTATCCCAATCCCCAGCAAGGCACCATGCGCCTCATGCCCTCGATGAACAGCCCGCTGGGCACTCGCATAAGCAGCTTGTCGCTGAATGCCGGCACCCTGAGCGGCTTGAAGCGCGGATTGGAGCGCGGCAGCAGCAGCAGCAGCCTGGGAAACAGTGCCAGCGTGGGCACCAACACCGCCATCCTGGCCAAGGAGTGCTCCAGCCAGACGAGCGCCAGTGCCCGCCCCTTCATGCACATGGGCGTCCATCCGTCCTCGCACTCTCCATTTGGCTCCCTTCCCCAGGTGGCATCTGGTTACGAGGCCGTGGGAATGGAGCTGGATGCCGGGAACATCACACGCAGCGGCAAGAGTCTCACGGGTCGCTACAACACCAGCTTTGGCTATGTGGCCGAGGGGGCCTACTCTCTGGTGGGTGTTCTTTCTTAATCCCTGCCAGCTAAATCTCTAAGAGTAATATGGAATCCCCCAGCCGCAGGCGCACCACACCCAGCAGTTCCCGGCCCCAATGCCGCCACCACCTTATGCCCTTGGTCGCGTCAGCTCGCGCACCTTCGACTTCGACAACAACACTCCGCCGCCGTGTCCCGGCTCCGGACCCATTGCCATGACCAACGGCACCATCCAGCTGCGCCTGCGCGAGGGCGTTCGGTGAGTGTGCAGATCTATAGGATATATCCCTATCCCTTCATCACTCTACCTTATCCCCTACAGCATCGATATGACCCTGGACAAGGCGGTGCGTGTGCTCAACCAGCGGAGCATGGTGGCCGTCGCCCTGTCGCGCAACTGCAGCAACTCGGCCCTCATCCATCCCAATGGACGCATCCTTCAGAGCGGATCCAAGGTGGAGATCGTCACCTATGACGGAATGAAGGCCAATAACTTTGTGTAAGTTTCGTAAAATACGATTGGGAAACCCTTTGTTGGTCTTGTTGTTTAAATCGAACCTTAATAGACATGGTATCTTAAAACAAATGAAACATTTTGTGATACTCGCTTTTCCCGATTCCAATCCAGACAAAAGAAAACTCCGAGTTCAAATGGAGAATTCTTGGGCACGGATATTTTCTGATTTCAAACATGTTCTATCAGTAAAGTGACATTTATATTTTGATTCCTTAACTACAATTAAACTGATTTTTAAGCTCAGTTCTTAAAGCGATTATCCATAAATCTCCTTAAGCTAGTTTTGAATAACAAATCTATCTGGGAAAAACAAGAAATTAGAATCCAAGTTAGCAAACTTAGTTATCCGTTTTTTCTCTTTATACTTAATACAACTTAATACTTTGATTAAAGATTGTAAAATGCATATATCTCAATACCTTCATGGTTTGTCATAGCTATGGAATTATTCCCTTTGTAAATCTAAAATTAGTTATTCTGAAATATGCGAAATGCAGCACTGAATATTAACTCGACTGCAATCCTCTTTCCTCCTTTCAGTCGCTACGCCAAAATGTGGTACAAGGGCGTCAGTTTCACCAGCGAGTCCTGCGCCCTCATCTATCTGGTGGACACAGCTGGCACGCGCACCACCACGGACACCTTCACCGATTTGACCAAGGACTACACACTGGCTGTGTTCTACGAGTGAGTCCCGCACAAAGCCCAGATTGCCAAAATCAATTCTCCGAGCTCCTCTTTCTAATTAACGCCCCGCAGCGACTCTCGTCACGGCCCGTCCTTTATGGCGGATGCCCACGAGGTAATCGCCAACTCCACCTACAACTGCGCCGAGGACGGCACCGAGGTGTACGACATCAACGGATTCCGCATCACGCAGGCGGCCGACGGCCTGGTGAAGGTCACCCGCCAGCACAACAAGTGCCTCATCCGCACCAGTCCCGGCAACGGATCCGCCACCCTAACCACGCCCGGCATCCATTGCACGGCTTCGCTGGGGAAGACCTCGCACCTGTTTGTCCGGTGAGTTCGCATTTGCCACTGCCACTGCATCGTAATTGGTTGCAACCTAATGATGCACTCGGAAAAGATTCCGCTTTGATATTCAGTAGAATCAAAAATAAAATATAATTTAATTAAGTCAATCATACGACTACTGATTCTCTCTGAAGCCATTTTCTTGCTTTAATTAATCCGATAAATTGAATGATTAATTACTTTAAAAGAATGGGAATATCTAATCATGTTGTTTATTCTTGATATTCAATTTAAAAAAGACCAAGTCAGTTTCATGATTTAATTAATAAAGAGAAAACATCAATAATAATAACTACTAAAAAAGAAAATATAATTATGTCCGGATGGCTCCTTATCTCCAAACTAGTCTTTCAGATAAAAGAGCTATTTGATTTGCAAATATGTTTATATAAACAAATACAATAAACTTCAAAACTTTTTAAAGTTATTTATTCCTTTATCCTTTCCTTCCTTTTTCTAATACCTCTTTGTTTTCTCCGTTTTCCTTCAGTCGTAATGAGAAACGCATGCACTTCGACGGATCCTGTTTCATTGTACGCAACGCCGGCCACTCGGCCGGGTTCAATGAGAACAACCTGCTGATTGTCTACTAAGTCCCGCTCGAAACATGGGAAGTGCCCGCCGTGGGGTGGTCCACCCACCTACCGCCACCCACCGCAGCACTCGAAACTGGGCCCATTAGCACACAGACACCACAGACACACACAGACATCGACTCAACCGTCGACAGCGACCAAACCCCCACACAAAAATCAACGATCGGGGGCCTCGACGTGGAGAGGGATCAGATAATATGAGAAAACAGAATCTAGGCTACGGTCGAAAAAAAATGATAATCGTAAGACTGCATTTAGAAAAAGACAGCTCGGAAAAGGGCGCGAGCAACGGAAACGGTCGATCCTTGGAGGGCACATCCTTCGCCGCCTTGGGTTGCTCTTCGATTGCTCGACGTAGGCGCAACGCAACCACTAAGGAATTAGTTTTTAGACCCCGTCATATTCTCTCTATCCCTCGATATCCTTACTTTTATACGCATACAGTTGTTTCGTACAGGCCGGCCGGTGGGGAAGTGTCATCCCTACCTACTGCCTGAAACGCTGGCCAAGACAATGGGATTTCGATCAGGGCCAGCGTTTGGTGTTTGAAAAAGAATCTATTCGTTTCGCGTTCCACATTACTTTCGGCTTCATCGAACTGTCCAAATTGCTTTACGAATTTCCCAATGTTTTACTATTCCATAGAACATTCTGAGGAGAAAAAAACTCGCAAAAGGAAAAAAAATTAAAAGTTTCTAAATTTGCACAAAAAAATTCAAATTAAATTATTTATATCAAAATTTTAACTCTGAATGGAGAGTTCAACAACGAATAGGCCGCACCGCAACCGAGACCTCTGTCGAGTTCTTTGGCGTTATGTTCGGACCACATAACGCCAGTGTCAATTCAGTTAGTTCTAAGTTATCAATTAAGATTAGTTTACCCAGTTAATGCAATCCACGCATGTTCATCCTCACCCATCCACCCACAAAACAACACGACACCCAACAACTCGACCTTATGATAAGCACACGTTGAAAGTAAAATGAGTAGTCTTTAGTGAACAGAAAGGCATGTGCTAAAATTTCCAAGTGTAGGTAGTAGGTACAGTCTGATCAGGTACGCACTACCCCACCTATATAAACTGACACATTCGCACACACATCTAATTCATTTAGGGGCAGCTGCAAAGTGAGCAGTTGCTACTGAAATGGAATACGATTTTTAATTAGCTTACGCAACACTCGTCTATAAAAGGCAGCCGTCTTTGAAGACTAAGCTAACACACATACACACTATCACACATGCGAATACCCCTCTGAAAAAAGTGAAAGAGGGGGAGAAAGTGAAACACCACACAACACGAAACGTGTCGAGCCTTACGACAATCTCCAAAACCCTAAATTTACCCTCATGTAAATCGAAATTTATGTGTACAAAAATCGATTTTAAAAAGTAATAAAGGAAAATCTGAGAAAGTAATTATACATATATATTTGCCTAGTTTTATTCAGCTTGGGTTAATTGTACAGCGGGGAAAATTGTTAAACTCCTCTTGTACATTTCTTTATGCCTTTTGTCTGTCGAGTTCTGTGGTATCGTAAATGAACAAGGAAATTGTTTTATGACTACAATTCACTTCACACTCCTCGAGGAGGAGTAATGGTTCCTAAAGGGCCACCAGGAGTTAGGACATTTCTTTTGAAATATATATTTAAAATGTAAGAGTTATAAAAGAGATTTCGGAATCTAAAAAGGTTTTAAATTGCATATTTAAATTAATCAAAAATGTATATTTAGATCAAAGCCATCTTAAAAAGTATATATATGGGTAAGCAAAATATTAATTGGGCTTATTGGGGAGTTTTGAAGTCATGGTCGTTACCTGCAAACAAATCCAAAAGCACAACGATATGGGATCGGCAGTCATGCAGACTAAACTCTCCAACAGACTTAACCTGGAGTTGGAACTGGAGAAGCGGCTCGGCAGTGGCTGTTGGTAGAGATTATTGGATAATGGTTGGCAGGACTATATGCCACGTCTGTCTCTGTCATAAGTAGAAAGTTGTTCCATGGTTAGAGAATACACACAGGGAGAAAGGGCAGGCAGGGCTAGCAAGAAGGTGAGGGTAAGCGAGGAGTGGTGAGCGGGTGCGGAAGCCACGGCAAGGATACACAAGCGGCGGTGAGTGTCTGCACCTCAGGCTGGCACACATATCAAAATACATCTAAAAATGCCTTTATTCTAGTGCGAGTGCTGCGAACCAAATGAACCCCGAACCCAGGAACCGAAGTTAACTTGGAGGCGAGCAAAGGCGACCCACTCACATATGCCATATTCAAAGCCCAGGCTTGCGTGAATGGATGGAACGGAAACCCAAGAGGGGTGGGGGGGTTGACGATTCGGGACCCCGTCGCCATTTGCCTCTCGCACCCGTGCTCGACATCAAACGCTTTTCACACTTAATTGGGCGTAAAATTAAATCAGAATTGATTAAAACACTTGAATGACAGCAGCAGTCGAAGCCAGAGCTACATGTTCTGGTCCCAACTTCCAGGACCCAGCTAAAAAGTCTAAGCATAAACAAACTTTTCGGTTTCCCGTTTTTCCAGCTGACGCATGGCACGTAACTTCCTTTGGCCGAGTTTTCCCCTGCCCCACCACCCATCCTCCTAAAAAAAGACTAATTGCTGCCTAGAAACCCAACTCCAGCTCCCCTCTTTGGGCTTTAGAAAGTTTATCAAATTCAATTTCCGACAAAAGGAAGAACGGTCCGCCAAGGCAGGGCATCAATTTTTTTGCATTACCGTTTAATGGGCCGTCAATTATGCGAGTCTGGGTCCACCGGTTATATGTACCTACACATTCATACATATTCAATATGCCTTAATTCATGGCCATAAATCCTCGAATGGGTTCCATTCACCTGCACTCCGTGTGGCTTCTGCCTCGCTGTTCTGGCCAACCGGCAAATCAATTCGATTTCCGGCCGAAAAGGGAGTGCCAACGGACTGCAACTGCCCCCGATAATTGCATTTTAACCGATTTACCCAGGAAAATCCAAAAACAAGCGGCACGAGACATCGGTAATGGATGTATGCAAATTAAGCTTCGTTTAACTTAATGGGAAATGAATGGCACTGGGGGAAATGAAAAATTATGAACATTTACCCTTAAGGGTAAGTGGCTTAAATTGAACCACGAGGATTACCCCAAAATACATCAAAATGTAAGCGTCTCCATCTGTCATGACGAGAACGAGGACAAGGACTTCAAACGAGAGCTGACAAACTTGGCTCATCGTAATATGTTTTCGGATATGTAAGCCTATCTGTCAGCCCACAAAGGTGACGGCAATCAAATCAATCAGACCAGCCACCTGAGCAGAGTGAGACCTCAATGTGTGCGTTTCCTTGGCGGGAATAACCCCTTTAACTCAAAACCCCATCCTGACATCGGATATTTCTGGGCGAAAAGGATTGCAGATGACAAGTTGCAAGTATATATAGTCCTTCAATGTCAAGCTGTCAGGGTTGATTGCTGGTTGCGATATCATGCCCCAATTCATAAACTATTTACAAATAGAATTTGCCCGAAAGTGGCTGTGGTACTGCGACATCAGTTATAATTAAACTAATTGAGAGCCTGTCGAAGTTACTACTTTCACCTCAAATGCAAGGCAAAGTTTCAGTCGACTAATTGAAATTGCACTCTAACAATGTTCCGACTTCCACTTTAAGTTCAACCTTAGATTGAATCAATATTCATTATGTTTAAAAAGCTACCCTCGTTTTCTCTGCAACGAAAGTAAATACAAATTGTGTAAATGTTGAATAACTCTTTGGCAATAACAATTGAAATGTAACAACAGACGCGAGTCAACATTATTATAATGGCGTTTAATTAAGCCGCCGAGTAAATCCTTTAATTTGAATTGGCAGGCCTAAAAACAACAAAGGCCGAGCCGAGGGCCAAATATTTTTGTCCTAATCCTCTTGGCCGGCCCAAAAAGCTTTATAAATTGGCAAGGGATGCCGTCCTCTGGCCGATGCTCTCCAATAACCAAAGTTTCGGGCTGATGAACAGGAGGCTTGGTAAACTGTCCAATATTTGCACATTACAGACCTCATACAGTTGCAGGACCGAGTGTCTGATACCAAAGTTTTTGCGTGGCTGGTGGCCAAAAGTGCTCTGTTCTTGGCCATGGCCAGCCATTTGTTTGCCAAGCTCGGCAGATGTCACCCACAATCTGTGGGTCTCATCTACTGTCTGTGGGCCTGGCTTTCAAAATAATATGGTGGCCGTATTTGCCAAGGCAATCGTAATTAACTTGCTGCCTGCTAGGTAACGCCAATGCATGAAATCCCCTTAAATGCAAACCCAAAATCCACATTGCTTCTCATTAAAATTCAACAGTATGTGACATCCAACTCAAGAGTCTCACTCAATTTTTATGCTGGTTTTGTCCCCGATTCTCCAGCAGATTCCTCTTTTCAATGCCATCTCCCAGCCAATAGCAGCCATTTTCAACGAACGCTTTTCAGTTGACGATTTAATTAAGTCTAATGGTAAAATGTTGTTACGCAATTAAGTCGGTGTCGTTGTTTTCGTAAATGCCCTTTTTATTGGGCCCAACTCACGTGCTGACCCTGTTCGCTCCGCCCAGGGAAACCGATTTCGGCCCACATAATGTGAAGTGAATGCAAATCGAATTACCAATAACGAGACTACCACGAAGTTTCTGAGAGCTGTTAATACCTGGCTGAAATCGTTGTTGATAGCTGAGCCTAGTGGCAGATCCTTATACAAATAGTCCAGAAATTAAAAGCTTACTTAAGCAGAGAACCAATATAGGAAGCATTTTGTTTTTCTTTAAAGTGCAACAGAAATCATTAAGGTGTATGACTATAACTCTCAAAAATATATATCTGATTTATATAAATTTAGTGCGTTAAAATTTAATGTAAATTATATTTAAATGAAAAAACAGTCCATTATTTAAAATATATGTATACCAAGTTTAACAAAAAATTTTAATATTTTAGGTAATAGAAAATAAAGTGAACAAAGATTGAACTAACAAGAAAGAAAAGCTAACTTCGGGCGGAGCCGAAGTTGATATACCCTTGCAGAATATTCTGTAAATTATATTCTCAAAAATTATTAAAATTAAGCATTTTTAATACTCATACTTTTTTTTGAATTGACAATCTACCCTTTTCAGCCTCTTTTATAATGCATGGGAATTACAGTAACGGGCAGTACGGTCATAAAAATTACGACTAGTTTACAACTCTTTACTTTTTAGATAACAGAGACATTTTATTTAAAGAAATCCAGGGGTTTATCCCATTATAACCTGGTAAACAGGTAAAATGGGACAACCCGTCAAGTGGTTCAATGAACACGTGCAAGGGGCAAGAATTGTGCAAAGGACCCGAAGTGGCCTTGTAACTGTACAATATCAGGTAATACCTTTTTTTGATTGGTCGAATTGGAAAAAATAGCACCACAAATTAGGACCACAATTATTCGTAACACCTAAATTGCACAACAGGTAGCCCAGGTACATAAAAAAAACATGACTTTTTATTGCCTTTTTTAAAAGGGTCAAACTTGGGAACCTTTAAAGGGTCAAGGGGATATTTGGGATATTACCTATATATATTCAGAAATCCTATAATCCGTAGATCAGTCAATGAAAAAATTTATCGAGTGACGACGTTACTCTGTCAGTGCAAAAATTTAAAGTGAGAAAGTAATTTTTTTTAAAAATATTTTTTTAACATTTGAAACTACAAACTTTGGTAAGTATATTTCGCTAATAACCCCTTATACCCGTGGACGGTATTCCATGTAGGTGATTTTATATTCTATCATTGCATATTTTCATTTTTTTCATACAGCAATTTAAAAAAATGCCTCGTGTATCACGCTTGTCCCAGGAGCAACGCCGCCAAGCTGCTTTAAGCCACAGTAGAGCCCGCTATGAACGGAATGCGTCCCAAATAAGAGCTCGGAACTCTCAACATATCGCCGATGCTCGCGACAATAACCCTAACTTTCGGGAGGAAAGTCGTGCTCAGGATTCCGCTGCACGCGCGCAGCGGAGAAGAAGCGAAAGGGTTCGCAACCTTGAACGGATTCGGGACGCACAAGCTCATTCAACTCGTCGGGAGGACTCTGAGGAACGAAGACAAGAGCAGTTGCGAAACACTGCTGACCATGCGTCTCAGAGGACTAACCCAGAAATACGTTCTGTAGAGCGTATTCAGGATGCTGCAAGACGTTCGAATCGTCGACAGGACTCTGAGGTGAGAAGACAAGAGCAGTTGCGAAACACTGCTGAACACTCTACTCGGAGGACTATTTCGGAGTTTCGAATTCCTGAACGGATTCGGGACATGGATGCACACGCGATCCGTCGAGAGGACCCCGAGGAGCGACGACGAGAGCAGTTGCGAAACACTGCTGAGCATTCTACTCGGAGGACTATTTCGGAGTTACGAATTCCTGAACGGATTCGGGACATGGATGCACACGCGATCCGTCGAGAGGACCCCGAGGAGCGACGACGAGAGCAGTTGCGAAACACTGCTGAGCACTCTACTCGGAGGACTATTTCGGAGTTACGAATTCCTGAACGGATTCGGGACATGGATGCACACGCGATCCGTCGAGAGGACCCCGAGGAGCGACGACGAGAGCAGTTGCGGAACACTGCTGAGCATTCTACTCGGAGGACTATTTCGGAGTTACGAATTCCTGAACGGATTCGGGACATGGATGCACACGCGATCCGTCGAGAGGACCCCGAGGAGCGACGACGAGAGCAGTTGCGAAACACTGCTGAGCACTCTACTCGGAGGACTATTTCGGAGTTACGAATTCCTGAACGGATTCGGGACATGGATGCACACGCGATCCGTCGAGAGGACCCCGAGGAGCGACGACGAGAGCAGTTGCGAAACACTGCTGAGCACTCTACTCGGAGGACTATTCCGGAGTACCGAAATCCTGAACGGGTGCGGGACGCCGCAGCGCGTACTATTCGGCGAGAAGACACCGAGGAGCGGCGACAAGAGCAGGTGCAAAATACTGCTGACCATGCCACTCGGAGGAACAATCCTGAATTTCGAATTTCAGAGCGGATTCGGGACGCCGCAGCACGAGCTGCTCATCGCGAGGACCCAGAGGAACGTGCAAGGGAACAGGAAAGGAACACTGGAGAGCACCGACAGCGACGAAGGGATATGGAAGACAGGCAGCGAGAACGGGAAAGGGACGCCGATAACAGGAGAGCAACCAGGAGAAATCCCATCGCTAGATCACAGGAGCAACGGATAAACACATCACAACGCCGGGAAACACGACAACAGCGGAGGATTCGGGAAGAACAAATTCGGCAAATGGCAGAGGATCGATTATTAAACTTTAGGATGGACTCACAAAATCGACTGGATGCCTCCCAAAGGCAGTCGCAAAGAAACATGGACGCAAGAGCTCAACTTTCGGAGGATGAACTGGAACAGGAACGAGGACAACAGCGAAATAGGATTCGATCATCAGCGAGGGATCTGTACCACAGGAACATTAAGGAAGGCCCAACGGCTATTTGTATTTGCTGTGGAGGAACATGGTTCCGTTCGCAGGTAAGTGGATTATCCATCCTGGCTATCTCCTCTAAATTTCCTCTCCTAAACGTTGGCAACGCCTTTTATTTGTCAAGAAAATTTCCCAGTCCGTCCGGCAAATATAACTTTTGCCACACTTGTCGTCGTGCCATTTCTCTTGGCAAACTGCCATCACTCTGCCTTTCTAATGGGTTCGATTTCCCAGAAATCCCTGAGTGCTTAAATGGACTCACCTGCCTCGAAGAACGCCTTATTTCACCGAGAATCCCTTTTATGAGGATTATTTCCCTCGGCTATGAAAGGCAATGTGGAATCAGAGGGGCAGTGGTGAATGTTCCAATTTCAGTTCCCGATATTGTGACTGCGCTTCCACGCTCTTTCGACTCTACCCATGTCATCCAAGTCCATTTAAAAAGGAGACTAGAGTACGCTCACAATTTCATGACTGAAACTATTCGACCAGCTCGGGTCCTTGAAGCTGTACGGTACTTAGTAAGTACCGAGCTCTACAGAAAGCACAACATTTCACTAAACGAATCATGGCTAACAGAACTTCAAGGAATTAATGATATTCCTTTTATTGCGGACGAATCTGATCGCGAAGCAGTAGAGCAACTTCTTCACCAGCAGCACCACTCCCAAAATGCTGCAGAGCTCGAAGAAAATTTAAATCCCGGAGGCCATGAAACATTATTGGAAAATAATGATACTGCAATTCAGCGCATTGCATTGGCACCAGGTGAAGGCCGTCGGCCAACAAGCTTAACGCTTGACGAAGACGCAGAGGAACTTTCCTTTCCAACTATTTCTTGCGGAGAAATATTTAAAGGAAATACAACCTATGCGAAAAAAGCCAGATCCCAAATCCGTTTTTACGACCGTCGTTGCGCTGTAGTTCCAAAAGTTTTATACATGTATAAATTTTACGAAATGCAGCGCATACAAAATTCAATTTCAATTGCTTTACGCAAAAAGTCAGGAGCGGTTACCGCTGGTAATCTGCGGGATGAATCATTTGTTGACCGTCTTGTGCAACATGATGATGGCTACCACATCCTGAAAGGCTTACGGTCTGCACCAGCTCATTGGGAGGCTGAGAAAAAAAAAGTTATAGCTATGATTCGACAATTTGGGCTGCCAACGTTTTTCATTACTCTTTCCGCTGCTGAAACTAAGTGGAATGAACTTTTAGTTATCCTGTCTCTTCTATTGGATAATAGGGCTATAAGCGAGGAAGAAGCGGCAGCTCTGTCCAGCTCCGAAAAGGCTCGGTTAATTCGATCCGATCCAGTGACGTGCTCTCGATACTTCGATTACAGGTTGCGACAATTAATGAAATTGTTCAAAACCGATATTTTTGGGGAATTCAATCTTTCTCATTTTTATTGGAGAATCGAGTTCCAGCACAGAGGATCTCCGCATTCTCATGGCATGTACTGGCTTGCTGGTGCTCCTAAGCTCGAAGACAACGAAAATACCGAGCAAGTAATAAACTTTATTGATAGGTTTATTACTACAAATGGAGACGATACTGAACTACAAGAAGTAATTCAGTATCAACGCCACAAGCATAGTGCTTCTTGCCTAAGAGAGTTACGCGGACAGGAGTTCTGCCGATTCAATATGCCATATCCTCCTATGCCCGAAACGCTTATTTTGCATCCAATAGATGAAAACGAAGTCAATATTGAAGATCATAAAACTTTGTTTAAAAAAATTAAGGAAGCTTTAAGGAATATTTCAAATGAAGACGCAGCTTTATTTAACAATTTTGATCATTTTCTGTCCCACCTTGAAACAAATTTTGAAGCCTACAAACTAGCCTTACGTTCCAGCTTAAAAAAGCCACAAATTTTTCTTCGCAGACAATTCTCCGACCGACTGCTCAATGCTTATAATAGAGATATTCTAGGCTTGCACAGAGCTAATATGGATATTCAATTTATCCTAGATGCGTACGCCTGTTGTAGTTATATCATTAACTACATAAACAAATCAAACAGAGGCGTATCGCAATTGCTCCGTGAAGCCATGGCAGAAATAAGCCATGGGAATATTTCTATTAAAAGGAAACTACAGCACATAGGGAATAAGTTTATTAACGCTACTGAAATATCGGCCCAAGAAGCAGCTTACAATATTTTGGGTCTGCATATGTCGGAGGCAAGTGAAGGTACTATTTTTTTAAACACTTGTCATCCAGACAAACGAGTTAGATTGGCTCGCTCAAATGAAGAATTAGAGCGACTTCCAAACAACTCGGTGGATATTTTTGAGCGTAATATTCTTGACCGATATGTGCAAAGGCATGAGCAGTTGGAAGGAATTTGTTTAGCAGATTTCGCAGCTTGGTACAGATTTGTCAAGCGGAATGCACGATCTGCCGCTAATCATAGGGAAGACTATGATGAAGCAAATGATGTGGAGGTAGATGACGAAGATGAAGTTGCTGAGCAAAGTTATCCACTGATGGATGGGTCTGGCTGCGTTAAGAAACGTAGGCATCCCCTGATTCTAAGGTGGGTTCGCTTTAGTATTAACTCTTCACCTTCCGATTATTTCCGAGAGCATTTAATGCTCTTCTATCCTTGGCGAAATGAAGAAGCTGAACTTCTTTCCAACGACATTGAAAACACATTCCGAGTAAACCATGAATCCATTAAGACAATGAAAAGGAACTATGATGTGTTTGATGATATGGAGTTAGAAAGAGTTCTGGAAGATTTGCAAGAGGATAGGGGAGATAATGCTCCTGATGCGGAAGAACCTGCCTCCCAATTTTTAGACGAAGAGTTTAGAGCTTTGGCAGTTCCAAATATAGAGCGGAACGTAAATATTCTTCAGGATGACAATGCGATAAACAACCCTGAAGAAGACGGCGAACTTCAATTAATTAGACTCCCCCGTTAGTTTCCAATGATGACCTTTGCTCGCTAACTCGGTCCCTAAACTACAAACAAAGACATTATTATGCACATGTGATGCATAATGTTGTTTGTAAAAATGTTTTTTACGAATATGTTGGTGGAGGGGCCGGTGTAGGAAAAAGCAGACTGATTTCTACCATCTGTCAGTCTGTGACTTGGCGAGCAAATAAGCTTCCTGGTGCTACGGATTCAGCAAAGGTTTTATTATGTGCTCCGACTGGAAAAGCTGCTTTTGGAATTGGAGGACTGACTCTACATTCAGTGTTTTCTCTTCCAATTAATCAGGCTTCTGGTCCCTTAAGACCTTTAAGCAATGATAGTTTAAATACAATTCATTGCAAGTTGATTGATCTCCAACTGATTATAATTGATGAAATTTCTATGGTTGGTTCTAAAATGCTTTCATTTTTGGATCAACGGCTTCGTCAAATTTTCCGAAGCCCTGACTTAAGTTTTGGTGGAAAATCAATTATAGTTTTTGGAGATCTAAAGCAGCTTTCCCCAGTTGGAGACAGTTGGATATTTTCGGAGAGGACAATTAATCCTTATAGCGTTTTAGCAGGAAATAGCTTATGGAGCAACTTTAAGTATTTTGAGCTCACAGAAATAATGCGCCAAAGAGGCGACAATGCATTTGCTCAAGCCCTAAATCATTTGTCTGAGGCTTGCATGACAATTGCAGATATAGAGCTCCTTAAACAAAGAGTTGTTTCACCCAGCGAAGTTCCTGATGATGCCATTCATTTATTTTCTTCTAACGAAGAAGTTAATAATTACAATTCCCTAAAACTAGCGCAAATTGGGACGGAAGAGTTGGTTTCCACTGCTGTTGATACAGTGAAAACTGCGAACATATCTACACGAAACAGAGAAAACACGTTAAGATATGCTCAAAATATGAAAACCTCTGAAACACAGGGGTTGCCATATGCTCTTCATCTCAAAACAACTGCTAAATATATGGTAACCGTCAATATAGACACAAGTGACGGACTTGTAAATGGAGCAACTGGTCAGCTGATGCTAATTGACCATTGCTTAGTGAATGACTCAAATTTAGTAACGCGACTTTGGATTAAATTTTTTGAACCCACGGTTGGCACTATCGCCAGATCAAAGGTTCGGAATAGTCCCGATCCCGAATGGACTCCAATAGTAAAAGCCTCTCGAGTTTTTCAATGTGGAAGATCGGAGCATGCTTCTGTTGACCGAAAACAATTTCCAATTGTTCCTGCTGAGGCTATTACCATCCACAAAAGCCAAGGAGCAACATATAGCAAAGTCGCCGTGCATCTTAAAAGAGGCATCAAGCGAGCTTCGTTATATGTTGGATGCAGCAGAGCCACTAGCGCATCAGGACTTTTCCTTCTAGGCGACTTTGTTCCTCCAACAAGATTTGGAGCTCCAAATGTCCAAGACGAACTTCAAAAGTTAAGAGAGGAAAAGTTTTTGACTACGCATTATGAGTTTGTGGTTAACAGAAACGAAGACATCTCCCTGTATTACCATAATGTTGAGTCTCTTCGAAGCCATCGCGAAGATATTTTTAACGACCCTATTATTTGTTCTGCAAATTTTCTTTGTTTTGTCGAAACTTGGACTCTTCCCAGCGAAGACTTTTCTTCAGAAGGTTTCGACATAATAAGAAGAATTGATAGCAATCGATTGAATGGTATGGGCAAAAATGGAATTATTATTTATGCCAAGCAAAATATTGCCGAAAATGTAGTTTTCTTGTTTGAGACAAATAAGTCTTCGAGCTCAAGAACTATATACCAATCAATTGCATTCAAATATATTAATACATCCTTCATTGTTGTTTATAGGAATCCAACGTTTCCTATAGCACAATTTCGTAATGAAATTCTGTCGGACGTAGAAAGGATACGCAGCTTAGAAAATAATGGCAAATTGGTTATATTAGGAGATTTTAATATTTGCAGATCCACAACCACTGATCGACTCGAGGAAGCTTTAAATGAATTTAATCTAATTCCAATCAATAATTCTGCAACAACGAAACATTTGACGCAAATTGATTGGATATTTGCTGAAAATGAGCTGAGGAATGCTGTTGCTCTTACATACAAAACGAGCTATAGTCATCATGATGGAATTTTTCTTAAATATAGATATTAACATTTGTTTATTAATTTATTTATCAATTTATTAACTTATTTATTTATTTGAATTGTATATATCTAAGTAAAATAGAAATAGATTATTATATTGTTTAAAGATTGTGATAAATTTGTTATTTATAAAGTGCAATATAGATTAAGCTATTATAATATTTCCCTCTCGTGGATTGAGACCTTGTCGTGGTGAGGGGGCTGAGTATGTGAGGATTCATAATAAATATCACGGAAACCAGCATCAATCCTTTGTTTTAACTAGTTCATAAAAAAAAAAATGAATCGACGACAGATTCTAAATGGAAAACAATATCATATAGTCCGCCGATTCTTATGAAATTTGGTAGGTCGGATTGATTGGCCAAATATAACACCCACAGAAAATCCCAACTTCCTAACTTTACAAACACCAAAGTTATGGCATTTCCGATCTATCAGTTATATGGCAGCTATAGGATATAGTCGGCCGATCCTTATGAAATTTGGTAGGTAGGATTGATTAGCCAAATATAAAACCCATAGAAAATTCCAACTTTCTAACTTTACAAACACCAAAGTTATGGCATTTCCGATCAATCAGTTATGGCATTTCCGATCTATCAGTTATATGGCAGCTATAGGATATAGTCGGCCGATCCTTATGAAATTTGGTAGGTTGGATTGATTAGCCAAATATAAAACCCATAGAAAATTCCAACTTCCTAACTTTACAAACACCAAAGTTATGGCATTTCCGATCAATCAGTTATAGGGCAGCTATAGGATATAGTCGGCCGATCCTTATGAAATTTGGTAGGTAGGATTGATTAGCCAAATATAAAACCCATAGAAAATTCCAACTTTCTAACTTTACAAACACCAAAGTTATGGCATTTCCGATCAACAGTTATGGCATTTCCGATCAATCAGTTATATGGCAGCTATAGGATATAGTCGGCCGATCCTTATGAAATTTGGTAGGTAGGATTGATTAGCCAAATATAAAACCCATAGAAAATTCCAACTTTCTAACTTTACAAACACCAAAGTTATGGCATTTCCGATCAATCAGTTATATGGCAGCTATAGGATATAGTCGGCCGATCCGCCGTTCCGACATATATACTGCGCAAAGAAAGAAGGGGTCAAAGTTTCAATACGATAGCTTTAAAACGAGAGACTAGTTTGCGTAGAAACAGACAGACGGACAGACGGACAGACGACAGCTATATCAACTCAGAGGATCCTGATCAAGAATATATAACTTTATAGGGTCGGAGATGTCTCCTTCACTGCGTTGCACACTTTTGACCAAATTATAATACCCTCTGCAAGGGTATAAAAATGAATCGACGACAGATTCTAAATGGAAAACAATATCATATAGTCCGCCGATTCTTATGAAATTTGGTAGGTCGGATTGATTGGCCAAATATAACACCCACAGAAAATCCCAACTTCCTAACTTTACAAACACCAAAGTTATGGCATTTCCGATCTATCAGTTATATGGCAGCTATAGGATATAGTCGGCCGATCCTTATGAAATTTGGTAGGTAGGATTGATTAGCCAAATATAAAACCCATAGAAAATTCCAACTTTCTAACTTTACAAACACCAAAGTTATGGCATTTCCGATCAATCAGTTATGGCATTTCCGATCTATCAGTTATATGGCAGCTATAGGATATAGTCGGCCGATCCTTATGAAATTTGGTAGGTAGGATTGATTAGCCAAATATAAAACCCATAGAAAATTCCAACTTCCTAACTTTACAAACACCAAAGTTATGGCATTTCCGATCAATCAGTTATATGGCAGCTATAGGATATAGTCGGCCGATCCTTATGAAATTTGGTAGGTAGGATTGATTAGCCAAATATAAAACCCATAGAAAATTCCAACTTTCTAACTTTACAAACACCAAAGTTATGGCATTTCCGATCAATCAGTTATATGGCAGCTATAGGATATAGTCGGCCGATCCTTATGAAATTTGGTAGGTAGGATTGATTAGCCAAATATAAAACCCATAGAAAATTCCAACTTTCTAACTTTACAAACACCAAAGTTATGGCATTTCCGATCAATCAGTTATATGGCAGCTATAGGATATAGTCGGCCGATCCCGGCCGTTCCGACATATATACTGCGTGCAAAGGAAAGAAGGGTGTGTGCAAAGTTTCAATACGATAGCTTTAAAACTGAGAGACTAGTTTGCGTAGAAACAGACAGACGGACAGACGGACAGACGGACAGACGGACAGACGGACAGACGGACAGACGGACAGACGGACAGACGGACAGACGGACAGACGGACATGGCTATATCAACTCAGGAGGTGATCCTGATCAAGAATATATATACTTTATAGGGTCGGAGATGTCTCCTTCACTGCGTTGCACACTTTTGACCAAAATTATAATACCCTCTGCAAGGGTATAAAAATGAATCGACGACAGATTCTAAATGGAAAACAATATCATATAGTCCGCCGATTCTTTTGAAATTTGGTAGGTCGGATTGATTGGCCAAATATAACACCCACAGAAAATCCCAACTTCCTAACTTTACAAACACCAAAGTTATGGCATTTCCGATCTATCAGTTATATGGCAGCTATAGGATATAGTCGGCCGATCCTTATGAAATTTGGTAGGTAGGATTGATTAGCCAAATATAAAACCCATAGAAAATTCCAACTTTCTAACTTTACAAACACCAAAGTTATGGCATTTCCGATCAATCAGTTATGGCATTTCCGATCTATCAGTTATATGGCAGCTATAGGATATAGTCGGCCGATCCTTATGAAATTTGGTAGGTTGGATTGATTAGCCAAATATAAAACCCATAGAAAATTCCA